GGTAGATGACGTCTGTTGCTCTGCCCTTGGTCAACAGGTCTATGGCAACAGCGTAGAGAGCCACCAAAGTTGTCAGGCACGATTTCTCCTCAGTGAAGCCCTGTTGGCTGTCTCCAATCACCTCCCTATTTTCCATGTGCCTTAGCAGAGATCCCAGGAGGATCTGCTCCATGACCTTGCCAGGCACAGAGGTGGGACTGACTGGCCTAGAGTTCCCTGGGTCTTCTTTTTTCCCTTCTTTGAGTATCGGGGTTGTGTTCCCCTTTTTCCAGTCAGTGAGAACTTTGCCAGGTTGCCACGATTTCTCAAATATGATGGAAAGTGGCTTAGCAACTTCATCTGCCAGCTCCCTCAGGACCCGTGGATGGATTTCATCAGGTCCCATGGACTTGTGCACCTTCAGGTTCCATAACAGGTCTCGAACCTGATCTCCTCGTACTGTGGGCAGCTCTTCATTTGCAGAGCCCCTGTTTTTGCCTTCTGTGACTTGGGCAGTGTGCTTAGAGCCCTTGCTGGTGAAGACTGAGGCAAAAAAGTCGTTCCATATCTCAGCCTTCTCTATCTCCTGGGTGGCCAGGTCTCCCGTTTCCTTCTGGAGAGGGCCCACAGCTTCCCTGGTCTTGCCTTTAACTGTGATATATCTATAGAAGCTTTTTTTACTGTTTTTGATGTTCCTGGCAAGATTTAGTTCTGCCTGGGCTTTCGCTTGCCTGCTCTGGTTCCTGGCCGTTCACACAGTTTCTCTGTATTCTGTCCATTCTACCCGTCCCTGCTTCCACCCTCTATAGGCCTCCTTTTTGGTTTTGAGCTTGTTCAGCAGTTCCTTGTTCATCCATGGAGGCCTTCTGGCTATTTTGCCTGACTTGTTTTTTGGGATGCATCTCTCCTGAGCTTTGAGGAGGTGATCCTTGAATACCAACCAGCTTTCTTGGGCCCCTCTCCCCTCCAGTTCTTTCTCCCATGCTACCCTGCCAATCATATCCCTCAAGAGTCCAAAGTCTGCTTTCCTGAAGTCCAGGGTAGAAAGCTTGCTGCACGCCCTCGCTGCCGTAAGGATCTTGAATTCTACCATTTCATGGTCTCTGCAGCTGAGGGTAACCTTGAACCTGACATTCCCCAACAGCCCCTCCTTGTTGGGAAGCACAACATCCAGCACGGCTCCTTTCCTTGTTGGCTCCTTAATCATTTGAAGAAGAAAGTTATCATCAATGCATTCCAAGAACATTCTGGATCTCTTATGTCCTGCTTCCCCAGTAAAGGGTGAAAATGGGATGGGCGTCTCCAATCCCCATCCTCCTCAGCTGTCCAACCACTACTTCCTGGAGCAATATAAGTTCATGTATGGCCTGAAGCCCTGCTGGGAAGGGGCTGGGTCTCAGAGTAACCAATGGGGTAGAACCAGGAAATCTCTCTCCTTCCTGCTTCTTCAAAATCGAAACCAACTTGGAGACTGAAGCTGCCACCGGTCGCTCTTCATGGCAGCCAGGACACCTCTGGAAGTGCTCCAGGATGAAGCCTGCTGCTCCATCTGCCTGGGAATATTCCAGGACCCCGTGTCCATCCACTGTGGGCACAGCTTTTGCCGGTCGTGCATCACTGAGACCTGGGAAGGATGGACCACCAACTTCTCCTGCCCCCAGTGCAGGAAGATGAAGTCACGGAAGATCCTCCGCCCCAACAGGGAATTGGCCAACGTGATTGAAGCAGCCAAGAGATTGAACCTGCCACCAGACAGAGAGGTGGAAGGAGGGGAGAACTTGTGCGAGAAACACCAGGAACCCCTGAAGCTCTTCTGCCAAGATGACAAAAGGCTTATCTGTGTGGTGTGTGACAGGTCCAAGGTGCACCGTGACCATTCTGTGGTTCCCATCGGCGAGGCTGCCCAGGAGTGCAAGGTGAGGGGTTATGAGTGTGCTGAAGAGGTGGACATAGGAGCAGGACGCTCTTGGGGACCAAGGGGTCCTCTCCCCCAGGGTTCACCCACGAGCAGGGCCTTAGGGGAGGGTAGGAAACAGAGGCGTAGGATTTCTCCCCAACACAATCCCTCTGCAAAACTCCATCAATGGCTCTGTCCTCTGGGGTGCGGGTCCCTTGTCACGGTCAGCTCTGCTAAAGATCAGTAGGAAAGGAGAAAAAGAGATCCTCAGCCCTTCTCCCACCCCACAGCTCCCTGGAAGAGTTTTGGTCTTTGTCAAAATACTAAAAGAAAAGGTAAAGAAAGAGGTTAATTTCCTCGGAACAGTCATGGGGGTCCCAAAACTCAGCCAACACTTACCCCAAGAGCCACCAAGAGTTCCCCGGTGCTTCTGCTGAGGCTGCCAGACCACGATGCCATTCCACAGGGGACTTCTTTCTTTCTTTCCTCTCAGAAACAAATTCACACCCAACTGCACCTTCTGAAATCAAAGCAAGAGGAGCTTCAATCTTCCGTGAAGGACAGAGAAGACAGACTCAAGGACCACACTGTAGGTGCCCATCAGTTTTCCTGAGCAGAGGGTGGGGGAAGAAAGGAGGAACATCTCCTCCTCCTCCTTCTCTCCCGCAGGGGTGGGTGATGCTCAAGGGCTGTGGGGAAGGGAGAGGGGGTTTGTATCTTCCCCAAATGCCTCTTCTTGGTGGCTCCCACTAAGGCATGGCCCACCCTTGACCCTTGATGCTCTTCTCCTGCTCTCTTCATCTTTTTCTCCACTTGGGCTTGCCCTTGGCAGGAGAGGACAGAAGCTGCAAAGCAGGAGATTGTGAGGACATATAGGAAGATGCACGAGTTCCTGGAGAAGCAGGAGTCCTCTCTTCTGGCCCAGCTGGAGCAGCTGGACACAGAGATAAGGAAAGCCCATGAAGAAATCCTCCAGAGGCTTTTGGAGGAGACAACGAGGCTGGGCACGCTGATTGGGGAGATGGAGAGGACGTACCAGCAGCCAGACTGGCAGCTCCTGAAGGTGAGAGCCCAGGCTTTCCAAACTGGCTGGGAAGGCCCACCTTGAGCTTGGTCTCCAGCCCTCGCTTGTCTCCCCCAACCCGCTCCAAGAGGGACTTCCTTCGAGTGGGACCCCGGTACTCCAAGGGGAGGTGTTCCATCTCACTGAGTCTCTTCTTCTCTCTCCTCCAGGACATTGGAACCACCTTGAGCAGGTCTGTGGTCCTTCTCCTGTCCCCATGTCACCACCACAGAGCAGCTCTGTGGCAGGACACGGGGAGAAAGCACTTGGGGACGGGTTGGCTCTTCTGCAGTACAGCCCTTGGGCTTGACCGAGGCCACGGGGGGTTGGAAGGAGGGCTCTGCCTCTCTCTCCTGAATGAATGATGAATTTGGACACGGGCTGGCAGGAGGCAGGAGCAGGGAGTGCTGAGAAAACACGGAGCAGCAAAGTCCAACCAGGTGTAAATCCATCCCCTCTTCCCTTCCAGGGGCCAGAGGGAAACGCTCTCCCACTCACTCCAGATTTCCCCGCGGCTGGAAAAGAAATTCGCTGATTTCACCACAAAATCCGCAGCCATCAAGGAGAAATTCCGAGGTACCAAGGGCAGGTCCAGAAAGGGCAATGCCATCGTGCTTCTTGGTGGGGAGGGATGGAGTGAAGCCAGGGGAAAGAAAGGCATCCTGGGTGCTGAATGAGGGGTTATTTCTTTCAAGATCCCACAAGGAGACAGAGAACGAGCAGCGAGCGTTGGTCTGATGTTCCCTGCCTGTCCTCCTCCTCCTCTTCTCCTCTGCCTCCTCAAGTTGCTCGACCTTCCCCCAAGCCTGTTCCTGACTCTCGGGACTTTTGCAGAAACCCACAATCAGACCAACTGATCTTTGTGTTTCTCCATCTTGTCTCTTCCCTCTAGATTTCCTGGTGCTCGAGGTTCCTTTGACAAGTAAGTGAACCAAAAATATGACCAAGAAAGCCATCATATGAAATAAAAAATATGGGAAAAGAACCTCTTCTGCCCCCAAAGATTAACCTATAGTGCTCTGCTGCCTCCTTTCCCCCTTCTCCCATCCTGGTCCCACCACCAGGCGATGCCTGAAGAGGTCCCAACTGGGTCAGAGGGATGGGAAGGGAGGGAAAAATCCCTGTTTCTCCCCAGATCTGCTGCCATGAGCCTGACTCTCTCTTCACCTCCAGCTCAGATGACGCTGGACTGGCAGACGGCCAACACCAATCTTTACCTCTCGCAAGACTGCAAGCTCGTGTGGTACGAATTCGATAAGCAGAACCTGCCCTACAACCCGAGGAGGTTCAAATTCGATCCCTGTGTGCTGGGCTCAAGGGGCTTCTCATCGGGGTGGCACCGCTGGGACGTGGAGATCCACGGAGAAGGCAGATGGGCCATTGGGGTGGCCAAGGAGTCGGTTCCAAGGAAACACATGTTTTCGCTGAATCCCGATGTGGGCGTGTGGGCTCTATATCATACCCATGATGGGTACAAGGCTATGACCTCTCCTTATGTCATCCCCTTGACTCTACGCCATGTCCCCAAGCGGATACGAATCTGCTTGGACTATGAGGAAGGGAGGGTGGTGTTTTTTGATGCCGAGAGCAAAGAACGGATCTTTGCTTTTCCACCAGCAACTTTCCAAGGACAGAGAGTCTTCCCGTTGCTCATGGTAAGAAGAGATGCTCAACTCAAACTTCTTCCCTAAGGCACAGGAGGGAAAAAGAAGAACAACAAAACCCAACCCCCAAAGACCTCGAGTTCCCTTGGGAAAGAAACCAGGGGCTGGGTTTTGTCCCAATCCCACCAAAGGGACAGGAAAGGGGAGCGGTGTTCAGGTTCCTTTCCTTCTGTGCTAAATGGGAGCATTTCTGTGCCTTCAACTCTATTTTGATCTTTCAATCGCTGTTTAATCACTACATGGCTGTTACATGGTTGCTGCAAACTTGCCCTGTTGGGGAGTTAAAAGTAAAAGTTTAATTCTAGATCATTTCTGCCTTGTGTGTCTGCTTTTTATCTCAGGTTTATTATTTCCTCTGGGGTTTTCCTTGGAAGTTGCTTAAGAGAACTGGAGGAAGGGAAAGTCATCCTGGTCCCTCTCCAAAACCCACTGCACAGGGAGATGAGACCCAGGGGTTCCAGTGAAGGTCCATCAAGTCCTCCTCTTGTCCCCAGACATCCCTCTTCGGGCAAGCAGATCAGAGCAGGGTGAGGATGCCTATGGCCTCAGGAGCCCTCTTTTCCCACCGTCAGTGGGTAATTAACCAATTAACAGGGTTAATGAGCATGTAATGAGGGACACTGCAAGGGATCTGATAATGGGCTCTGCCCTCTCTCTAACCCCATTGGGCCCTGGCATCGTTTTGATCCTTCTCCTTTCCAGGCTGGACCATCCCAGTCTTTGCCCATCCATCCTGGG